GCAAAATTAAGACTAATTATATTGTTGTGGGTTAATCTTTGTGATTTGCCTTTGATTTTTACTTTTGACTCAAAGAAAAATCACAAATATATTTGGTGGGAAATAACTTTTAATTTAAATAAAAAATTAGTTTCAAAATTTAAAATTTTTAACTTTTAATTTGTGGACTCTGATTTATACCACTTATTCTTTTTTTTTTTAAAAAAAAAAGAATAAGAAAGATTGATCTAGGTCGTTCTCAACAAGCATACTAATTTCATCTCATTTTTTGTCTTATTTATCAAAATCAACTTTTGAATTTTGACTCAAAGTTATAATCCAAAAGTCATGTCAGATCTACTCTGATTCAATACTGACCCATCGATACCATGGCAGTTATCCTCAGACTAAGCTAAGCTAGCTGGCATTAAAAAACATACGCAACTTTTGATTGATTACTAAATTATCTTTTAACCTAAATTAATTTAAATATAATATAATTAAAAAATAATTAAAATTAGTTATTCATGAATAAAGAGAATTGAATATTCTTGACTTTATTAAATTAAAAATGATTCTCACATTTTAGACCTTTTTTTTAAATATAATATTTTTTTAATAGAATATTCATGCTTAGGAATCAAACTCTTATAAAATAAAATCCGCATCATACTTTAATTTAAAAATTCCATTTTATATTCTCTTGATAGATAAAAAAAAAAACCATAGTCAGAATGCTTTAATTAAAAAAATTCGTATAACACGCATTGAATTTGAAAAATATACCAAAAGATTTAGAATAACCTAAAGAAAAAAACTCCAATTCCAGACTAACTAGGGTTAATTGTATGAATTCTTCCGCATAATGATCATACATCAAATACCAAAAATTTATTATTTATTTAGAACTTCTAGTAAGTCTTCGTTCCACATGCCAAAACTAGATAATAGAATAATAACATTAGTTAATTTGTTATTTATACTTAATTGTAACTGAAGTATAAAAAAATTTAAACAATATCGGTTTTTTTACTTAAGTAAGCACATGCTGCTACAATAATTTCAAAACAATGCCGTTTTGATTTTTTTTTCTTTTGAAACGATGATGCTGTTTTAGTTTTACCAAAAAAATTATTTTTATTTTTGATAAAAATATATTTTTTTGATAAAAAATTGAAGTGATTTTTTAAAAATGATTTTTCTTTGGTCATTGACATTCTAGGTTTGTATAAAATAATTCGTCAGTTTTATTTGTGTTACGGAGTTAGATCCTTAGATCCCCGAATGCAGAGAGAGGTGATAGAGGAGGGTTCGGTTTTTGGGGGATTCATCATGAGTTTTTACAAGTTGTTAGGGTGTTTTTAGGAAATTGGATGTGAGAGCCAAAAAAAAGAACCTTCTCCCAATCTTTTGACAAGAAAGTTGTTGGAAATTGCAGACAGCAACGTCAAAAGTTAGAGCCTTTTTTTTTTCCCTTATTATATACAGCAACACCAGGGTGGATGACACATCAGGCGCCTTTTTTTCCTTGTTATATACAGCCTTATATCGCGCAGGCTTGGGGGCGCGCAACGGTCCACCATGTTTTCTTTGGTTTTTCTTTTTTGCCTTTTGGAGTTTTTGTTTTCTTTTTCTTTTTCTTTTCCTTTGTTCGATTTTTTATTTTTTATTTTTTTTTCAATATCATTTGCTCTAAATATTTAATTATTATTTTTGATGTTTTCGTACAACTTCAACGCAAAATAATAATTATTTTATGTGATTTTGACCTTTTTGTTTATTTTTTTAAAATATAGTGTATAAAATATAATTGTTATGAAAAATAATGATCCTCCATTCAAACTTCAAAAAAAAAAAAAAAAAGAAGAAGATTAATTGCCAACTCTTTGGAAAATAATAAAGGTTTGATAGTTAATCAATCTAAAATACATAAAACATTTAATAACAATAACACTAAAATAGAATTGATACAACAAAAGTTTTTTTCTTTAAGACAAATATCATTGCTTACGATAGATTATCATTATTTTCTATTTTTTATACAAGTATTTTTTGTTTCCTTTTTCTTTGATTATTTATTTATTTATTATTTTCTTAATATCACTTGCCTCCAAATACTTAATGGTTATTTTTGTATTTTTCATACAATCTCACCAAAAAAATAATAATTATTTTTCATGATTTTGAATTTTTATATATTTTTTAATAGTTAATATAAAAATATAATGTTTATGAACAATAATGATTCTTCATTCAACCTTTTAGAAAAAAAAAAAAAGATTAATTTTCAATTTTTTTGGACAATAATAAAAGGTTAGGCAGTTAATCAATCTAAAATGCGGATAAAAAATTTAATGACAATAACACTAATATAGAATTGATACATCACAAGTTTTTTTCTTTTAATAAACACCATCGCTTACAGTAGATTATCATTATTTTCTTTATATATAAATATCGTTAAATTTTTCTTTGATTTTTTTTTTATTTTCTCAAATCACTTGCCTCCAAAATTTTAATGGTTATTTTTGTATTTTCCATACAACCTCACAGAAAAACATAATTATTTTTCATGATTTTGACTTTTATTTATTTTTTAAAAAGTTAATATAAAAATATAATTTTATGAAAAATAATGATTCTTCATTCAACCTTTTAGAAAAACAATGATTAATTGCCAATTTTTTTGGACAATAATAAAGGTTTCATAGTTAAACAATCTAAAATGCTTAATTTTGAAAAATTTAATAAGAATAACACTAATACATAATTGATATAGCACTGGTTTTTTTCCTTTAAAATAAATATCATTGCTTAACGTAGATTAACATTCAGAAGAAAAAATTACCTAAATAACAAAGATATAATAACTGATAATTAATCATATTAATTTTTTATTTATTATGTGTTGCTTCAAAATTAATCATCAATTTTTCAAAATATATTAAAAAAATGAATATTTAGAATATGTCGAATAAAATAAAAAGATTATTATCGAATAGAGAATAATGAGATTTTTTAACCGATAATTATGAACTCTTTGATTGAAATTAAGCATCATTCCAACATGGATTGCTTGAGCGTACTTTTGCGTATGTTTAATTTATCCATAAATTTTATTTTAATAACTTAATTAATTATGTACTAACTCATTATATTCTTTTACTAATCTAAAAAGGATTCAAACTACAAAACATGTGGATTGGACTGATAATGATGAGTCCAACACAAGGCTTTTTTAACTCTTTAAGGATGGACATAAGTATTTTGACAGACTTAATTATTGTTTCTTTTAGTTTTTATTATCAAGTTGAAGCAATTTAGTCTAAAAAAAAAACTCATTCTCCTTTTGACCTTTTTTTTTTTTTTTTCCTTAGTCCATCTCGAATTCTATTGTCTAAACCTGAATGATACAATACGATTCTAATGATCAAAAGAGTTCCATTTTCACTATAAATATCAGTTTTATATCGATTGTGAAGGCATTTTCAAATCATTCTAGACTTTTTTAATTGAAATTCTAAAATCTCTCGCTTAAAGTTCTCACAAACTCGTAATGCACGACTTGTTAAAAAATGAACAGCAAAACAATAATAAAATCAAAGAAAATGAAGGGAGAGATAAAAAAAAAACGAATGATCCGAAAGGATACATATAGAAAGAAGAAAAAAGAGATGTTAGAAAAAGAAATTGTAAAAAATGATAATAATATTTTTTTAGCCCAAAGATGTTAATGGCTCCTTTCTACTTCTGTATCCGTCCTTAGAAATAACCATAATTAAATAAATTGAAATTATTAAGAATAAAATATTTATTGTGACAATTTGCATGGCATTAACTTGGTGTCCTGCTCTCGTTAGGATTGAATATTCAGTTTTTCAATGCGATAATCTATTTAATTGAAAAAAAAACTTAATTATTAGAATAGAGTATGACTGCTTGTATCTTATAATGACATAATTATTTACTGATAATATTTGTGCAAAACAGCATGAGTTGCTCCGTCCCTTCATTACCACGTTTTCCTTAAAACCGCGCTCTACGTGGCCCACGACTCCTCGTTTCCCCCGAACCTTCTGGATTGTCCGAGATTCTTAGTTAACACTTCCCTTGATTTTTTTTTTGCTCAACCTCTATCCATCATTTCGATTACTGCTAAACAAGTCTTCATAATTTAACGGAAAAAAGAGCAACTAATTGGATTACTACTTTACCCTTATAGCAACTTTTGCTTAACAAAATTGAAGAATTGAATTTCACATAGAAAAACAAAATATTCTTTTCCATGTCTTGTTATTCTTCCTGAAACTTTTCCATTAAAAAAAAAAAATCTCTTCAAATAAATGCAAAATATCATGAAAATCGATCATTAAACCGTTCTCAATATACGTTAACTATAAAAGGAATGAAATTACATAAAATATTCACTTGCAACTCTGAATAATTCAATTGATGAGCGATCATTTTACCTTTTTTCCAATTCTTTTATTTTCTTTTAATTTTTTTTTCTCAAAGCATAATACACGAATTTTATTAAAAACAAAAATTCTCATACATTTCATCATGTACTTAATTAATAATAAAATTTGAAAATGTTCCAGCAACTAAAAAAAATAATTTAATTTTATGTAAGATTCTACTTATACTAATGTTTTTTTTTTAAAAATAATAAAAAGGATTCTTTAAAAAAGGGAATTTCATTAAAGCAACTAAAAAACATTAATTTTTTTAGTTCATATAAAAGGTTTTAAGTTCTTAATTACTACGCTAAGGGCATTTTGGGCTTTCTACAGACAGTCCGCCACCTGCTGAGTACCTTCCCATCCCAAACCCATACCCAAGTTTTCTTCTCATTTAAGAAAAAACAAACTCACCAAAAGCACAATCTTTACTTCCTTAAATGATATCTTGATAGTGCTACATTTCTGAAAAGTTTGCAACTTTCTTGCTTAAGAAATCTCGTGTTCTTTGTTTACTGAGTTTAGACCCGGTTTATTAACGAGTTACTCCCGATTTGTCCAATGGAGAGAGGAGGTTATAGAGGCGGAGGAAGAGGTGGTCCTGGTGGTAGGAGCAGTGGTAGAAGAGGAGGTTATGGAAGGGGAAGGGATGGTGGTCGTAGTGGCGGGTATGATGGTGGTCGTGCTGGCGGGTATGATGGTGGTGGTCGTGCTGGCGGGTATGAGGGTGGCGGTCGTGCTGGCGGGTATGGTGGTGGTCGTGCTGGCCGGTATGAGGGTGGCGGTCATGGTGGCCATGAACATCAGCATTGGAGACCAACCAATGAAGGTGGTGCCGGCGGTCCTACACCCGGTCAAAGTGTTGGTGGAGTGGGGGCCACAATGGGTGGTGGGTCACAGTCAGAGCGGCATGGAGGTGGTCCACGTAGTCAAAGTGGTGAAATGGGGCCTAGAAGGGGTTGGGAAGTTGGCCGCCGTGGTGGTGTTGACGAGGAAGGAAGGAGCGATCAGGTTTCAGAAACTGGGAGAGGAAAGGGACCCTCGATACCTGTTAATGCGGATCCATCTAGAAATTGGGCTTCTGGTTCTAATTCTTCTGGTGATCTTGAACGAAGTAAGTATACTTTTGTGTTCATCAAGTGTACTGTGTTTTGTGTATTCAGTTTGGTTGCTGATGATTTGCAGGGAATGTGAAATGGTTGCGGTTTTTATTTGTGTTGTTTGGTGAATTAGTTTGTCTTTTTTGGTTGAAGTTTGAATTTTTTTGTTGAAATTTTTGAAGTTGGAGGAAAGAAGCGATTTTGGTTTCTGGGTTTTAAATTTATGCTGTTCTGGCTTTTGTGGTTTTGTTATTTGTAGTTTATTTAATGAAGTAACTTTGTTTGCATTGCATCTGAATTAGGAGTAATGCTCATGGCTTGTTGTATTTCGGTTACTAGACTTGGGTGTTTTGGACTTTGTTTAAGGTTAATTACCATACTGGAATGATGTCTTCCAAGTGGAAATGCAGTGATCCTTTATTAATTGTCTTGCGTTTTCTGTCTTGCTCTGTTTTTGGTTGTTGGATAAATGACTCTTTACCTTCTAAGAAATGCCTTAATGATACCATGAGGGTGTTACATGACCAAATTTTGATTGGTTGATAAGGGATCAATAGGTAATATATTTGTGAGACCTGTCATTGTTGGCAACCTGATCATTGCTTGTAGATATGTTTTGAGTTTGATTTTGTTATAATATTTACGTGTAAGAGTCACAATTTGGATATGCTTTAGGTGCATAAAAGCAAAAGTCGCAATTCTGAATTTTTAACTCTCTTCATCAGTTTTAGGACCATGGTGCAGTTTTAGTTACACAAGAATTGTAACTTAAATAACTTAACTAACTGATACAATGAAGTATGCCAACTTTGGAACTGTAAAGCAGTCATTTCCAGCTACATTTAATTTACTCTTCGTCTTCTTATTTGTTAAAGATTTGCATTACAGAATTGAGGGGAAGAAAATCAGATGGGACACTCAAGGTTATTTAATTACTATTTCCCAATCTAGTGGGCCATTGAATTTTGCTGAGATTTTTTTTTTTTTTGATTGATGCTATTTCATTCACTTATACAAAAAAATAGTTCAGATTTTCCTTCTTGTGTTTTTATTTGGTAATTTCAATTCAAGTGGTGGTGCATTGTATATTGTGGATCTTTGTCATTTTTATTTTTGATTTTTCTTAAATTGTTTAAAAATGAGGATAAATCTCCTGGACAGTGTGTTCATGGCTATGATAAGAGATTTTTGCAACTTTTTGCTGTCCTTGTCTTGCTTTAAACAACATGGATTTAGAAAATAGTTAGTGGATGATGTTATGCTTGAAGCTCAAAGTTGAAGTTGTTCAGATTCTTATCATCTGTAGCTTGCTACAATGTGTTGTTTGTTCTTTTAAGTGCACTTCCAATGGTTTCCTTTATTAACGAATTGGTATCAAGAAAGTTCTTGACATTATCTTCTTGTGTATTTTTAGTCTTGATTGGATTTGAAGTCAGGGCAATTGCGATAGAGCAACAGCTGTATATATTTGTCTATCCCACGAGTCAATAATTTTTAATGGCAGGAAATGGATGCTTTTAATTTATCATAAGATGGAAACATTAACGAGATAAGCTCTCTTTTCTTTGCAGGTAATTTGCCAAAAGGATTGGCTTCTTGCTCTTTGGACAATGCTGATAGGATCAGTCCAGTTCAACGACCAGATAAAGGTGGCAAACTGGCTGTCCGAAGCCCGAAGCTTCTTGTAAATCATTTTCCTGTCAGGTTCAATCCTGAGGGTATCATAATGCATTATGATGTTGATATCAAGCAAGAAGTGCTTCCCAAGCATGGTCGGCCTGGAAAAATTTCGAAGTCCAATTTAGCAATGATCAGGGATAAGTTATTTGCTGATGATCCTTCTCGGTTTCCCCTAGCTATGACTGCTTATGATGGGGAGAAGAACATTTTCAGTGTGGTTCCCTTACCCACCGGAACATTTAAAGTGGAGGTCTCTGAGGCAGAAGATGTGAAACCGCGTTCTTACCTATTTACCATAAAGCTTGTGAATGAACTTCACCTGCGCAAGTTGAAGGATTACTTGAGTGGGAAACTTCGTTCAATACCTCGTGACATATTACAAGGAATGGATGTGGTGATGAAGGAGCACCCCGCCAGGATGATGATCTCTGTTGGCCGTAGCTTCCATTCTTTTAGAGCTCATCAAGATAACCTTGGGCATGGAATCATAGCATCCAGAGGGAGTCAACATGGTCTCAAGGCGACTTCCCAGAGCCTAGCTCTTTGCTTGGATTACTCTGTTCTGTCATTTTACGAGCCAGTTCCTGTGATAGATTTCTTGAGAAAACATATTTCTGGGTTTAATTTAAATAATTTTGGAAAATTTTGTAGAGATGTGGAAGGTGTGTTGAAGGGTCTCAAAGTTAGAGTGACTCACCGTGTCACCAAACAAAAATATGTTATTACTGGGTTGACGAGAGATGCCACACGAGATATTTCATTTCCTCAAGAAGATCCAGATGGCAAGGCTTCACAAGAGGTTAGGCTTGTTGAATATTTCCGGAAAAAATATAGCAGAGATATAGTGCATCAAGATATCCCATGCCTAGAGATGAAAAGCAACACAAAGAACTATGTACCAATGGAGTTCTGTGTCTTGGCTGAGGGCCAAATATTTCCAAAAGAGTATCTGGATAAAAATAAAGCCCTGGTGTTGAAGGAAATCTCACTACCAAAGCCAAAGGATAGACAGAAATCAATATGCAGTATGGTGCAGGATGGAGATGGACCTTGTCGGTATGTATATGCAACTTGTTGACTTTTCATTCAGATAAATTATTGGAGCTCATAACTTTACACACAGTTCTATTTGCTTCTCATAGAACAATGAATTGAGATGGTTTTCTGATTGGCTGTTGCTTTTCACTTTGCTTATAACTTTTTCATCCTTTGTATGTTCCCTATTATATATTTAATTAATTGTTGGGTTGGTTATTACAGAAGCATTTGATAAAACTTATTATAAAGTAATGTTATTTTATTCTACTGCTTGACAACATTTTTCTTCTGGGATTCTTCTAAGCAACGAGGATTATTTAGTCATGTGACTCATCGTAGTCCTTTATGCACTGTGTATTTATGGTTGTTGACAATGTCATTGTTCGTATCATGGTATGTCACCCTCGTGAATATAGCTGCTGTTCAAAGCAGTGTCTTTTTATAGCATGTGCTCCATGAATATAATCGGTATTTTAGTTGTTGATGGAGCTATATGCAATGCATATTCAAGTCTTGCCTATCGGAGGATCTGAGAAATAACTAATTTTCTGTCAAGATTAAAATCTCAAGTTGGGGAAGTGTTTTTTTTTGCATGGTATGCTTGCTTCATTTTTCATGGTGGATTATTTTATGGTACACTTGCATAATTTTACAGAAGCTAATGGGTAGCTCTTAAATATGATGAACACCTTCTGTTAAGTCACTTGTGGCATGATATTCTGGGTTAAAATTGCAGATTAGTTCCTCATGTTGTTTATTGTTTTATTTGCAGTGGAGAGATTATCCGAAATTTTGGAGTGGAAGTCAGCATGAATATGACCCCAGTGGTGGGTCGTGTGATTGAGCCACCTGAATTGAATGTAGGTGCACCCAATGGCAGAGTGATTAAGATACCAGTTGACAAGGAGAAGTGCCAATGGAATCTTGTTGGAAAAGGAGTGGTGGAAGGGAAACCAATTGAGCGATGGGCTGTCCTTGACTTCAGCTGTGATGATTATCGATTCCGATTAAATCCCAATCAATTCATCCCAAAGCTTATTGCTCGGTGCCAAAAACTGGGGATTCGCATGGAAGAGCCCCTCTTTTATCAAGATACTAGCATGCGGATGTTTTCTAATGTTGATGCACTTCGTGAACTTCTTGAAGCAGTCAATGACCGTGTTCACAAAGTCTGTAGAGGCCGGTTGCAGTTTCTTCTCTGTGTCATGTCAAGGAAGGATCCTGGTTACAAATATCTCAAATGGATTTCTGAAACCAAAGTCGGTATTGTGACACAATGTTGTTTGTCCCCTCCTGCGAACAAAGGAAATGATCAGTACCTTGCTAATCTTGGTCTCAAGATTAATGCTAAGCTTGGAGGAAGCAATGCAGAGCTCAGTGACAGACTTCCGTACTTTGGGGATGAAAACCATGTCATGTTTATTGGGGCTGATGTCAATCATCCTGGTGGTCGACACACAACAAGTCCATCTATTGCAGCTGTTGTTGGTACCATAAATTGGCCAGCTGCAAATCGCTATGCAGCTCGAGTTCGTCCTCAGGATCCTCGTAAAGAGCAGATTTTGAATTTTGGCGATATGTGTTTGGAGCTTGTTAAATGTTATTCTCGGCTCAATAAAGCGAAACCTGAGAAGATTGTGATATTCCGTGATGGTGTCAGTGAGGGCCAGTTTGATATGGTTCTTAATGAAGAGTTAATGGACATCAAGAGGGCTTTGAAGTCAATCAATTACACCCCAACCATAACACTCATTGTTGCCCAGAAGCGGCATCTGACTCGTCTTTTTCCTGGGGATGGGGGATCTACTGGCAATGTGTCTCCAGGCACAGTTGTGGACACAACAATTGTTCATCCTTTTGAGTATGATTTTTACCTCTGTAGCCACTACGGAACCCTAGGGACAAGCAAGCCCACGCATTACTATGTTCTATGGGATGAGCATGGCCTCGGTTCTGACGTGCTGCAGAAGGTCATATACAACATGTGCTTCACATTTGCTCGTTGCACAAAACCTGTGTCATTAGTCCCACCAGTCTACTATGCCGACCTCGTTGCTTATAGAGGAAGGCTATACTATGAGGCAGTAATGGAAGGGCAGTCTCCATCTTCTGTATCATCTTCATCATCTTCAAGGACTTCATCATCACTTTCAGTGGCAGCTTCGGTGGAAGAAAGGTTTTGTATGCTGCATGCAGACCTGGAAAACATCATGTTTTTTGTTTGAAAATACTGGCAAATCCCCATCTCTTCTGGCAGTGAAGGAGTTTGCCACCTCTTCTCTTTTGGAAATGATGTTACGCAAGCTCGCTCCTTTTCTAAGCAAATCAAATATTAGTGAAGGAGTTTGTGCGTGAATCTAACTAGTTGCAAATTCCTCTTTATTTACCATGTTTTTTTCAAACCATGGGGGATTAGAGGAATGGCATGTCTTTTAGGTTTGTTTTCCATTTGGACGGTTGTTTTCTGTGTGTTTTCTCGTCGGATCGGATCTTGGTTGCTATCTTTAAGCTTCATGTGTGGTAAAGATGTTTGAATGGCACTATGGTAGTTGACATTATTGTTGGTTTTGAATTTGAAACTATGTTTCTTTGGATTTTGTGAATATGCCTTGGTGATTGATCATTTATCTCGTAAGTTATTTAGGATGGCAACGGGCGGAGATGGGGAGGGCAGGGCGGGGATAGTCATCTCCGTCTCCGCTCTATTCCAAAAATTTCGCCCCATCTCTGTCTTGTGTCTTGGTCGGGGCAAAATTTTGAGTATCATCCCGGCTTCAAACGAGACGGGGCAGGATGGGTCTCGTTAAATTGCCATTTCTATCAGTTATACCCTGCTGTTAGTCCTAATGTGATTTGCCTTATCTGTGCATGGAGTTCAAAGAAATCAATATAGGTTTGGTACTAATTAGATTAAAATCAAATGATTTTGGTATTGGACATCCGTTTCTTTGCTGCTCGCATGCAATATTTTTGTCAGAAACCCTAAAGAATGGGCTAGGATTCAGGAATAGAGAGATCTGCTTCGTTGTATAATTAGCGTTAATGGCACACCTATGGCATGCATAGGTTAGCTACCAATTCATTCAAGAAGACATTTATTATATTGAAAAGTTTATCAAATTATGATAATATGATTTTTCATCGGGGCCTGAATTATTGATCCATTGGTAAAAATGGTTTAACTTGTGCCCTAATTTAACATTTTATGCGAATCGCATGTACAGGTCGACCACCAACTTATCCAGTAAGCACCTAAAAAAAAAAAATCTATGCTTTTCTCAATTTTAACCCCGGTCTTTTTTTTTGAAAGGAAAAGAATAAAATTTTTTTGAATAATGAAACCTCAATTTTATTTTATTTTTCTATAAATACTTCTCTTACACACAAAAGTAGACCTATCTTTTGACAACTACCCTTCAAGGACATGGAGAAATTATTTTTTTTTTTTTATAGAACTCATGTATGATCCAAATATATTTAGCTTGTTTAGTCTAAAATAAAGATTACAGTAAAAAAAAATTATGTTATAACATTTGAATAATATATTTTAGATTTTAACTAACCAAATTGAACATTATTATGTATGAAAATACTTCATTTGAATAACTCGTATAATTTCTTTTAAATAATTTAAATTATTTTTAGAAGAATCATCCAAGTTCACAGATTAGTCCATAAAAATCGAAATATTTAACTAATGATTTTCTAAAAAATGTGATGAAAATTTCAAAATCAATTTGCAAAATGAAGTACAAGCATCAAAAGGAGCACAAATCATAATAATGGAAGGTAGATGGTAAATGAACGATCTCGATAAGTATTTGGAGGCATGCCAAGATCTAGTTCGAATTCGTGCAAAATCAGGTAGTGATTCTCATAATTCAAAACACCTAGGGGCAAACTCAATGGATCTAACTTTGAATTGAGTTCCAAATTTTGTCAAAATAGTATTGGGTCAATTAAAATTCAAATGCAACAAAACCAATTTAGTGGAAAGAACGAAAGCCTATCAAGCAAGTCATGAGCATCAATCAAAGCAGCTAAACACAGTCAAACACATGAGTTATCTCAAGATGAGATGCCCCAATTTAATGAGAGTTGGCAAGCAATTCTTAAAACAATCTTGGCCAGCTAGAATCGGAATACAACAAAACCAATATGGAGGAAAGAATAAAAAGCTTGGAGCTTTAATGGAAGCTGTTGTGAAACAATCAAGCAGGGGGCAAATGAGCTACCTTAAGCAAGGCAGAATCTGATGTCCTGAAATATTTCGTCAGGTATGAAAATTTTGCAATACAAAAATCTATTTTGTCATCTTAGCACATACCAAAAAAAAAAAAAAATGTCTCGATCTTCAGAAAATGCGAACTCATTTAGCACATCAGAATCGTTAAGGAGACGGTCATCCTTCAAAAGATGAAAAATCCACAGGAATTTAAATTAACAGGCGTAAATATTTATGTACCCTCGAGCTGATAAAGCTCTTCTCAAATCTTTTTCTCTTCAAGCAATTTAAATTCTTTTCAATTGTGCATCCACAGGAAATGTGTTTCCAGACACAGCAATTGTGCATCCATTTGAGTATGATTTTTACCTTTGTTCGGTGCACGAAACCTGTGGCAGTAGTCCCACCAGTGTATTATGCTGACCTTGCTACTTCATCATTTTCAACCTCGTCAAGATCGTTGACTTGTCCATAGGACGAAAGGTTCGGCAAGTTGCACCGTGACCCTGGAAGATGTCATGTTTTCTGTTTGAGAGGCGATAGAGTGGTATGTCCTTCTCTACTTACCACAAGTGATGATCTCTCGGTGATCACAAAAACAAATGTGTAGAGTAGCCACTTAATTTTATGTTCAAAACGTGTAGAGTCGCAATCACACGCACATATATATAAATGTTCAAAATGTATAGAGTTGTCATTCAATTTTAAAAAAGTAAAATCTAAGAAAAACTTAGCGTTAATGTTAAGAATTCTAAGTAAGAGAAAACTGATTATACAAATAGAAAAAATTACGGATCATCTTATTGTACTTTTGTAAAAAGGTTATTTTGTATTTCTAGTTTATAAAAATTCTTTCATATAAATATGTTTATATGTCTACTTGTCTATCCTAATGTGCGAATTCAATTATTTGACCTTTTTTTAACCAATGCTAATAAGATGATTTAAAGAAGAAATAAGATTTGATCCCTCACTTAAATTGTTATTGGGTCATTGAAATTCACATAAAAAGGTAAAAATCAAGTTTTAAAGCTCATTGCTAATTGAACAACTCCAAACTCCATACAAAGATAGATATAAATAAAATAAAATACATATGTACCATACATCCAAATTCACTTACCAAATCATGAAATAAAAAATAATTACAAGTCTGAAAAAATCTAAAAAAATAAATATAGGCTTCGAGCCCATATCATTATTTCACGTCACTCTAAAATACTAAGTTAGGCCTAAAGCTCAAGATCTATTTTACGGTTAAGTCCGTAAGACAACAAAATTAGTGACACCAAAAAAAAAAAAAAAGAATAAAAAGAAAATATGATAATAATAATAATAATAAGAGTTCTATAATTAAAATAAAGTCGGTTTCATATTTTAAACCTACTTTATCTAAATTGACTTAGATGGACATCACATAAAACAAACACACAAATACAAGACATGATAAAATTAAATATGTAAAGATCACAAAAAAAAAAAAAAAGACTCCATAGAAAATAAAATAGCTAATGCCTCCACAAGATCCTTGGCCTATTAATTTATATAGGCTTATTTTAATTTTTTTAAAAATATTATTAGTCTATAGCTCGTTTTATCATCAACTAATAGTTCCTCAAAGATTTTTTATGTGAAAAATAAAAATATTATATAGTAGTCAAACCCTTAACCTCATTTTTTATTAAAAAAATAATAATCAATAAAGAAAATTAAAATAAAGATTACAATATATCAAAACTTAAAAAAAAAAATTCACATATCTCTTCTCTAATCGGATTAAATTTTTAAGCACACAAATATCAAAGAATTCGAATTTAAATCCTTTTAAATCTGTCAAAAATCATAAAATATTTCAAATTCCAATCTTTTTAATTATACCCTTTAATCAGGATATTTCAGTTCAACAATCATCTGAATCTCATCTTAATCACATAATTGACATTACCAACATATGAGTCAATCAAGTAATCATGCAATACAACAAAATTTGGATGAAAATTAAATCAAAATAAATTGAAAACATAGGGGTTTGAATACCTTAATCAAAAGCTCAGGGACCAAACTGGTAGAAGCTCCCCAAAGACGACATAGCTTAGGCGGGACGTGTGTCCCCTAAGGTGGTCAGAATTGATTGATTCTGGTGGTGCTGAACTCGTCAAGGTCGGAAGATTCTCATGGTCCTGGGCATGTTTGAATCAGGTGATCGGACGACGATCGACGGCTTGGTTTTCTTTCTACCCTTTTGTCCTTTTGTTTTGGCTGCTTTTATACACACACACACACACACATATATATATTATAGAGGTAAAAATAAGGTGATGAGACTTCTCATGGTAGACATGGAGATAGTAACCCTTTTTTCTTCTGTATTTGAAATGACAAAAAACAAGTTAAACACATTTTCTTATCAGATGGACATCTCTGAAGAAATTGGTGTGACAATTTAATGGATCGCAAGTTCCTCTTGGTCATCATGGTTTTGCAGGCCATGCCAACTAGAGGATCAATGGAATAAGTTGTGTTTTGATCTTAGTTTTCTCTGTTTTCCCAGCCACTGATTGGGATGTTAGCTGATGTTATTTAGCATCTAATGTGATAAGAAATCTAAAGACAGTGGTAGTTGACATTGTCAGTTTTGAATTGAAACTATTCTCCTTTTCTTCCCTCGCTACATGTTTCTTTTTTTCTGGTTAAATTGGCTTGTCTATTGATCTTGTTTCTGATCATCAATAACAACCAATATGATTGGAACTGATACTGTAGTTCATGGATGGAAGTTCTTAAATAAACCAGTAAATTTGGTATAAACATTAAATGGACTAAAGTTAAATGGTTTTATTCAGTGACTGCTAGTATTGTCTTGTGTAGAGATTTTCATTTGGTCTGTTCTTTTTTTCTCAAAATTTTTTGACAATTATGCAAGACTTGCCGTAAAATTCTTTCAGATGTTTCTGAAAAATAACAAAGACTCAGAACTGTCATGTCAGTTGTTGTGGAAAAATCCCCTTCCCTTCCTTTTGGTCATTTCTTTCAGCAAAGACTAGAGTGTAATATGCCAAGTTACTATAATCCCCCAGGCCCCAGTATCTCCTGCTAATCAAAGATGGCAGCCAGACATTTTTGGACTTATAATTAGAGGAGCAAATGCTTTGTAATTTCAAGAAACTTCTCTAATCATTGCCTCATAATCTTCCACCAAACTTAGTACTTAACTCTTTAAAAGACATCGAATGCCTAGTGATGCCAAATTAATACTTTTGTCATATCAGCCAACCTGTCTTCTTTTGCTGCAATAGGTAACCTTAAGATATCCATCCACTTATGATTCCTAAATGCAAGAGGAAAGAATTTAACATGTCTTTGTTTGGATTTATCGAACTGGATGCATGTGCAATCTTTGTAAGCATCCTGGAAGTTTAACATGGATTTTTTCAGTTGTGGTCCATTTTTAAGATTCCTAGAAGTTTGGATTACTCATGATCTGTGGTCCAAATTAACGTGGAATGTTGTATTTTTTTGTTCTATTAGGTAGTAATTAATACATGGTGTCATTCATGTGGAACTAGGACCATTGCTATGCATATTCTGCAAGTAATTGGGGGGGGGGACCCCAAGAACGACAAGAAGACTATCTACATAAAATAGGATAGTACAAGCATTCTTTCTGTTAATTGCCGTTCATGCTGGTTTTTTTGCTTGGAATTTTGTGCCCTCTTTTCACTAAAGGGAGCTGCCAGAGCAGAACACTAAAATTTATTGTATTTAGGTGATATCAGTAGAATCCAAGCAGTGAACATGGGCATCACACAGTTGAGAACGACACCAGCAAAAATTTGGATAAGAAGATTTTGAACCTGGCCAGTTGATTGTGGAGTGACAGGTCGGGTTTGGCCAGTGGAGATAACTGTAACCTTCAATGGTTCTCTTGATGGAGACCATTGCGTGTGTGTGTGAGTTGGAAAGATGAGGTGCGTGACAGAAGAATATTATCTCTTCAATCTAAAGCTGTTCTGTAAATTGGAGAAATCTGCTTCAATATTGAGATATATACCTTTTTACAAAATCACTGAAAATGAAGTGAGACCTCACACTGGAACTATCACTATGCAGTATATATGCGTTCAGAAACCAAGTGACTAAAAGTGGCAACACAAAAAGATCAACATGTATCACACTCCTCTTGAAGAACAGGAATTCTAACCTCCTACTTGGCGACAATCGCACTGTAGGAATTCAAGTTGTCAATGTTTTGGTTGGATTTCTTGATTCCTGTAATTGCTTGTGTTGATTGAAAAGATAGGCTGATAGAGTGTCCATGTCATAGAGGATCTCGAAGAGGATCTATCAACTCTTTGTTCAATGTCGAAAGCATAGAGAGAGATTCTGTCAACAGATAATAATAGGTTAAGGAGTGAAACAATCTTCTAAACGAAGTCAATTTCAGATATGACAGGTTTGAACACATTTGCAGACATATTAGAACTAAAATGATTCTTCAAAGCTCAGCTTTAGTTGGCATAATTCCTCGTTTTCTTCCATGGTTTTGAAGCAATTTGTAACTAATTTGCCTGCCTTCTTTTTGCGAGAAAGCAGAAGATAAAACACACCCTTTTAAATGCTTTTCACACATAAAAACCAATGATCAAGAACATCATACCTGAACATTTTATGAGATGCTGCGGTGAAAAAGAAGGATTCACTCTTCCTATTAGAGCTCTGTCATAATGTGGTGGTTCTAGCAGTTGCGGCGAAAATTTTGAGAGTGACTTTTCTTTTCTGAATGGAAGCAGGATTCTGCTCATCCATGCAACAGTGAAGAGGCTTGATTGTACTAAATTTGGGATGCCATTGGCAATGGAATTGGAAAGGACAGCCAGAAACTTCTTGCTGCCACTGTTCAGCAAGACTACTGCTACTTTCCTTTGCCAATCTTCCATTGCATCTTCCTCTTCATTCTAGTTGGGCACCATTCAAAGAACACAAGCAATCATTACACAGGAGAGCTTAAATCTTTAGATATCCAAACTATTGCTAACTCATCCTGCAGTACTAGAAGAACAAAACCTCCCTTGTACTAATTTTTATCCAGAATGAAACTTCTAATTTCTTTTGCTGGTTTGATGATATATTAAAGCTTACCAAGTTCCCATCAACTATTTCCTTTCGTCGAAATGATCCTCGTAATCTCTCATGGAAACCTGCTTGTTGTAAAAGCCATTCTTCCGCTGTTTCCTCTCCATTGTACGAAAAACAGCCTCCCAACATCAAGAGAGCTTTTGCTGTTTGTTCTTGAACCTTGGTGCTACAATTATGACACTCTAAAGATTGTGTGATTGCCTCAACTGCTTCTTCTCTATACAAGCTGGACTTCGAAAGATCTTCCTGCAACATCACTGTTGCTTATTGTTCAAGATTTTGAATCCAAACTGTTATAAACTACTGCTTTGGTTTCAGCACCAAAAATGGAGCATTACCTTACTTACAAATGGACTTACCAGAAGATCAAGCTGCAAGAGAACTGCCGCAACCAGCGGGCGTTCTTCAGGAGAAGCTCTCTGGAGATAGACTAGAAAGATGTGCATGGTGCTCAAGCCGCCCCATCCATTATTGAATCCAGTTAAGAATTTAATGATCCGTGTTCTTCTGCTCACATTTCCTCAGATTAATCAGAATACAAATTGGCTAGTAAACTTACCAAAAATATTTTACAGAAGAGAAACTAGAAAATTCATACCTACTCAGGCATAGTAGCTCGGCTAGTAAATTGAATGCACATCCATTAAACTTCTTCTGGATTTCAAGAACAATGAGCTCAAGGAGAGAAGCCTTGTTCAAATTGTCAGCTACGTAGTTTCGAGAGCTCCCATTAGCTCGAATGCAACATAACATGAACATAGCAGCATGATTTCTCTCAATGATGTCTCCTACTTCAAAGGTCCTTGCCAACAAGCTCAATCCTCCCAGGGCAACAACTTGACTAGCATTCTCTAAGTTCCTATCTTCATCAAAACCTGTTAGAAGTTGGTCTAAGAAGTACATTGCTGCCTTTTGAGGCATGCACGTTACAGTGAACAGGGTCTGCAACTGGCCTCCGAACTCTAAAACTCTAAGGACTAGCGCTATCCACTCAATAGAGACCATCTGTTTTGCCTTCGGCTTCACTAGGTAAAGCAGAACAGCAGCTTTAAGAAATAAACTGCTACTTTTTAAGAGTTTCATGAAGATCTTGAACTGTGGGTCAGAGTTGAGTACTATTAGCCTATTTGCTTCATTTCTTGCTACAAGTTCTGCAAGAATAGATATTACCAGCTCTAGAACTTCATCGTCAGTAGAAGCAAACAAGACGTCAAGCAATCCTTCAACCACAGGTGCCTTTGATAAAGCACCTTCAATTTCATTACTTCCATGTGAGTCCAACCAGGCTTTGGCAGTGACATGGATTGCAATTTCACACTCAGTTAGACTATCTGAGGAGCAAATAGTGCTAATGGCTCTACTTAGATCACTGGAAGGAAGATGGATTGCCTCTTCATTCCTGATTGAATTACTCCTGACAATGATGTTGTCATTCACCAGGCATTCTGAGAACACAGTTTGGCAGGAAAAGACCCTAGAGTGATCTGGTTTCTGCGGCTCATGCCATATGCCTTTTCTCGAAATTCCATAATCTTGACTTGAGGTCCTTCGAGGAGTCCTCGTCTTATTATTCTGTAAAAATTGCAATACTGTTGATTATATTCTCCAATCAAGCAGTAGCTCAGTTAGAAATAGGAAAGTGAAAAATGGAGCAGAGTCTTGGGAATGGGGACAAAAAGATACTCACAGTAGCATAATTGCAATCTTTGTATTCATTTGTGCACAACTTTTCTTCCTCCATGCTCCCTGTATCCATTGAAGCTCTATTTCGAGAATCGAGGTCCATCGATCTGCACTCCAGCGTGGGGCCAAACACAGCTCGGTATCTTTTGAGATTAAAACAAAAATCATGAAGCAAATAATATAATTGTCAAGACCCTTTTTCTAATTTTGAAAAATAAACTGGGAAATGTTGATCAATGACTTACAAGTTAGTGTTGACGGAGGAATGAGAGTTATAAGAATCTGATGATCTCCTCATTGATGGTGCACAACTTGGTCTAGATGGCAAAGGGACAGCAGGAACAGAAGGAGATTTGGCCCCAACCTTGAGCCACTCTTTATAGTACAGAGCAAACTGGATAGTTCCCATATCCATCTGGTCATTATAGACCTTGCTCAAAGCTTTCATCCTTCTTTCCTTATCAACATGCTTGGAATCTGACAGAACTTCAAGTTCCTTATGGTACCAAACTTTAAGGTGAAGAAGATGGGGAAGAAGGAAATGGTCCCAAAGATCAGGAAGCAAGTGAGTCCTTGCTAAAAACGGCGAATCGCAAAAAACATGAAGTAGATGTCTTGCAGATATCCTGTCATTCTTCTCTAGCTTGTAAACAATGGACAAGTACAATTGAGCACAAGCTGAGATATGTGAATTGGGTACACCACAAGTTGAGCCATTCCTTGATTTCTTAGAATTCAATGAAGCAACAATGTTCAAAAGCTGAATTGAATTTTTCGTTGCCTCCATTTTCATTTCCTTCCTTGTTGCCTGCACTTCAACCAACTTCTCAATTCTTTCCATTCCCAACTCCAAATTCCCAAAAACCCCATCATCCGAACCCTTACTTCTTCTCACCAAGCAAGAGTTGCACTTCTCTCTAATCACCTCCCTAAAACTCACATCTTTTATATACCTGCCTATATAACCACTAAGTATAGATACCACAGCTCTAATAGCTATCTCATCAATTGCAGGTTCTTCTCCCCTCAAGAATGACTTGGACTGCAATCTCTCCGTATCCGAACTCACTCTCCTCGACGAAAATATCGATGACCCGTTTCGCATAGAGGCCTTATCGCTCTTCTGCTTGGAAGAACGGAATCTTTTCTGGTCATGGCAAATATGTATAGGCAATATTACAGAATCTTCTGGTCTAATTAATCTGTCTCTAAGCTTCACTTGTGTCCTATTTCTCAAGAACTTTCTGTTCTCAAATCCTTCGTCGGCGAGCAACTGATGTAAGGAAGCCATTTCTAGGTGATTTGAGTTTGGTTTTGGAGCAAAGAATTAGATGTCAAAAGGTTCACAAACATTCTTTCACAACCAAGAATAGTTAACTAAGAACAGCCAAGAGTGGTAGAGAAAGACACACAAATGAGGACAAATACTACTTGTGGTGATTTTATTTAGGTAGACCGGACGGTTCAAATTAGTTACTTCAGTTAAACTAGGGGTAGCATGTGAAATGCTTAGCTTGAACAGGACCCACCATGACCATAACAGAACAAGCCATTCAAAGGAATCTAGTGGTAAAACAGTACACTAGCAGAAGTTGCAGAAATTATCAAATTCATGGCAGAGAAGCAGAGCAGAAAAAACTTCAATCTCAACGATATTGCATGATGCTGGTTTCAAATGCTTTTTAGTGCCCGGTTCAAGATTTTGTCTTTTGGGGGCAAAGGACTAAGTACAACTTTGTAATATGGTTGGTGAAATATAATTCGAATTTGAATTAAATTTATTTCATTCTTTTTACTACGAGAAACTGTAAAAAGGTTCTAATGTTGGAAGATAAAATAATCAGATTATGATTTCAAGAAAAGAAAAGATAAGGGTTCAAAAGAAAAAGAAAAGAAAAAAGAAGGGTTCAAAAGTTAAAAAAAAAATTAAAGAACACATTAGTTCGATATGGTTGTTGAGATCTTCCTTTTGTCTTTAGTTATGAAGTTTTTAAAGAATGACTCAAATTTGAACTTAGGATGCTTATATAATTTGGATGTATTTGTTTGTAATGAGTTTTTAGAATAGTGTTTTTTTTTTTTTTTTGGGGGGGGGGGGTCTCAAATGGGTCTTCAAAGAATTTTTATCTCAATTGGATCCACGAAGTATTAAAATATTCTACATTCTCCAAAAAACAAAAACAAAAAAAATCACATTTAATTATAAGGTATTTATTTTAGGTTTAGATATATATATTGATAGTAAAAAATCATGTAAATTTTATTATTTGTAATAAAAAAGCTTGTAGTCCAAGAATAGTGATCTTTTACAACAAGAGTTCACGAGTTTAAATCCTAACAGATTAGTTCTATTAGGAGTTTTAGGTGTGTGAGTTAAAAATAAAATAAAATTAAAAAAAACTTCACTATTTGTATTCACATATTTATATAGCAAAAATTGCTATAAATTACTTAAAATTTATGGCGATGATTAATTGAATTATTGAATACATAATAATAAAAGTTGTAGGAACACAACTCAAAAAAGAAAAATCATTAGAGAAACTTTTGAAAAACATGAATTGATTTCACTTCTCAAAGATGGTGATGGATCAGAGTAGAACGAGGCATACGCGAGTTATCATATAGAAAAAAATTGACCCATCAATTTTTCCTTTGAAAAGAAATGCATTATGGGTCGTTGGAATTTTTTTTTATGATTAATAGGTTTATGCAACTTCAATTTATCTCTAGTTTCTTTCTAACCTGTTAGGTTATTTATATGGATTACTATATGCAAGATAATCACTTTAGCCATCCTAGAGGCTTAGTTAAAATGATAAGTTTCTTTATTTTTATATTACTATCATCCAAGTTTGAATTTTAAGAAATTTATTTTCGTATTATTATCTTTCAAATTTGAATTTTAACAAAAGTAAATAGTTTTTACAATCGTTATGAAATAACACAACAAACTTTCTTTTTATACATAAGACGATCTTAAGTTTAGATAAGGTTTTGTTTGTTCACAATGAATGCGAGATAAACCAATAATCAGCTTTTCAATTAATTTTTGTGACCTTGGTATATGAAGAATTGTTTAATTTAACTTTTGATATTAGTATTGGATATTATTGAAACTTTTTCGACTTCAAATATGAGTTCACAAAGTAAAATTTTTCCTCACTATTATAGTTAAACCTCCAACGTCTTCTACAACTAGTATAGGATAACCTTACCTGAATAATTTAGTTTAAATATATAAAACATTGCCCAAAAAACTCATTAAAGCCGAAAAAGAAATCTTTTGAAGCTACCATTAGAAAATGTAAGTAGGAAAGGCATTGTTAGTATACATTCTAGGAAATTCAGGCGAGACACAGGCAGGGACAAAGGGGGAGAGGGACAAAGGGGGAGAGAGACGTTTTTGTTTGTTTGGTCAGACTTTTGTGGTTTTGAGTTACTATCATCTATTTAGTCTTCCATTTCCTTTCCTCCCCTCATTCCTCCATGCCCTTCTTTCTTCTCTTTCTTGTCTTTTTCTTTCCTCGTTTTATTTCGTGTCTACATTTTTTATGGAATAAAACCGGACTCTATCGGTAAAGTTAAATATATTTACTTGTTTATGAAAAATAAATTAATTCATCCTTAATTAATTCATACCAGCTATCGAGTGAATATTTAGAGAAATCAATGTATTGATTCTTAACTATATTGTCAAGAGATAGGATCTATACGGTTTGGTTGAAGGGAGAAGGACACAACAATAATGTCATGTCAATGTCATGTTAAATAATTTCAAAAGCATATAGCTATAAGGTAAGTTGGTTGAACCATTATGGAGCTATAGTTATGAACCCACGTCCAAAGAGAGGGAAAGGAATATGGAAATATGTCATCAATCCTCCTTCTCTTTCAGATGAATTCCCTAGTTCAGTTACATGCACCTATAAAGAAAATCCTGAAAAACCCTAATCATATATGAACATGCAAAGAGAAAAGAAAAAAGTGGAGACAAATACTTTCATTTTCTTTGCTTCTTGGAAACTTAGAACCCAAGAACGCATTAGTTTGATATGGTTGTTGAGATCTTCCTTTTGTCTTCAGTTATGAAATGTTTCAAGAATGACTCAAAATTGAACTTAGGAGCTTATATACTTTGGATGTATTTGTTTGTAATAAGTTTTTAGAATAGTGCTTTTTTTTTGTTGTTTGGGGGGGGGGTCTTCAAAGAATTTTTTTATCTCAATTGGATCCACAAAGTAGTAAAATATTCTACGCTCTCCAAAAAAAAAAAAAAAAAAAAAATCATATTTAATTATAAGGTATTTATTTGAGGTTTAGATAACTTTATATATATATATATTGACTGTAAAGAATCATGTAAACTTCATTATTTCTGTTCACATATTTATATAGCAAAAATTGCTATAAATTAGCTAAAATTTATGGAGATGATTAAGTGAATTATTGAATAAAAAAAAAAAGTTGTAGGAACACAACTCAAAGAAAGAAAAATCATTAGAGAAACTTTTGAAAGACATGAATTGATTTCACTTTTCAAAGAGGGTGATGGATATATCAGAGTAGAACAAGGGATATGCTAGGTATAATATAAAACATAAATAAATAATTGACGGTTTGTTATTGACCCATCAAAGAGATGCATTATGGGTCGTTGGATTTATGCTAGGTATCTATAGTCTCTTTCTAACCTGTTAGGTTATTTATGGATTACTATATTCAAGATAATCATTTTAGCCATCTTTAAGCTGGCTTAGTTAAAATGATAAGTTTCTTTGTTTTCATATTATTATCATCCAAGTTTGAATTTTAAGGAATTTATTTTTATATTATTATCATTCAAGTTTGAATTTTAAGAAATGTAAATATTTTTTATAATCGATGTGGAATAACCCAACAAACTTTCTTTATGCACATTAGACGATCTTAAATTTTTAAAAATAAGATCTTATCCTTTTACAATAGATGTGAAATAACACAACAATTAGCCTTAAATTGACTACTTTTAATTAATTTGTGTTGTGTGGAGTAGGTATACAAAGAATTATTTAGTTTAACTTATGATCAATGGCGGACGCGAGACCAAATATTCATAGGGACCAAAATAAATATTTATAAATTTGTAATGGTTTACACAAACTTATATATATTATAAATAACATATCAATATATATTTTAAAATAGTCTCAAAATACAATCACTCAAAATAGAAATCTTCGTTCTTTCGAGTCACGAAAATCATTTATAAGCAAACCTATACTAATTTTTTCAGCAATTTCTTTTTCAATATATACTAACAAAGAATCGAAAAGAAAGTCATCTTTCATTTTGTTACGAAATTTAGTTTTGACTATGTTCATAATCGAAAATGATCGTTCCATGGTAGCCGTAGAAACCGAACAAGTAAGAATAAGCGTTATCATTCTATACAAAAGTGGATAACTTTCAAATTTTCTTATCTTCATCAACCATTGACACAAAATCGGATATAGCCGACAATGTTTTGAAATCGAAAGATTTCGTACATGATCAAAGCCTTCAAATTTCATCTTTAATTGCAGCATTTTATGATCAACAAAGTCTTGAGAATAAAATTTTTGCACCAATTTACAAATGACATCAATCCTATATGACATGTGCATCTCCGTAGGATAATTTTTTTGTCCCGAGTGAATATTTTATATGTTTTTTGATCCATGAATAGTAACTTTTTATGCAAAATAAATATTTTGAGTATTTTAAATGTGCATGAAAAATGTTCTATTTGCATAGAATATTTGCTTGAGGGGGTTAGATTATCCGGTGCCATTGGGTGAATTTTTTGATGTTCAGTGAATATTTTCAATGCATGAATAATATTTTTTGTGCAAATTAATTATTTTGAGCGTTTTAAATATGTTTGAAAATTATCCAATAGGTATAGAAAAATCACTAAAGAGGTGTAAGAATATTCTATGAACTTAGGTGAATTTTTCTGTGCATAGAGAATTTTTTTTTTTTATAGAAATAAGTGTATTTTTACATTTATTTAAGCTCTCAAATTAATTCTTTTGTGTAAAAATACACTCATTTATCAGTAGGTTGATTAAAATTCCAATTGAATCATTCTAAAAAAAAATCAATTAAAACATGAATTAAGAAGGTGTCATATTGAAAGTAAAAGTATTACAAAATAAGAAAGATGATAAAAGAATGTAGCATGGCATGGGTTGTTTTATGAGGGAAAAAAAAAAAACAGTTGGATGGGGAGGGGGGGCCAGGGCCTGTAGGGTTCTAGCTAGGTCCGCCCTGCTTATGATACTAGTATCGGATATTATAGAACTTTTTCAACTTCAAATTCTAATTTAAAAAACCAAATTTTTTTCTGACACTTATAATTAAGTATCCAATGCCTTCTACAACTAGCATGGGATAACCCTACCTAAATTAAATATATAAAACATTGCCCAAAAAACTCATTAAAGCCGAAAAAAGAAATCCTTTGAAGCTACCATTAAAAAATGTAAATAGGAAAGGAATTGGTAGCATACATTCTAGGAAATTCAGGCGAGACACAGACAAGGGCAAAGGAGGGAGAGAGACGTTTTTGTTTGTTTGGTCAGACTTTTGTGGTTTTGAGTTACTACCAGACCTATTTAGTCTTCCATTTCCTTTCCTCCTCTCCTTCCTCCATGCCCTTCTTTCTTCTCTTTCTTGTCTTTTTCTTTCCTCGTTTTATTTCGTGTCTACATTTTTTATGGAATAAAACCGGACTCGATCTGTAAAGTTAAATATATTTACTTGTTTATGAAAAATAAATTAATTCATCCTTTATTCATACTAGCTATCAAGTGAATATTTAGAGAAATCAATGTATTGATTGTTAAACTATATTGTCAGGAGCTAGGATATATATGGTTTGGTTGAAGGGAGAAGGACACAACAATAATGTCCTGTCAATGTCACGTTAAATAATTTCAAAAGCATATAGCTATAAGGTACGTTGGTTGAACCATTATGGAGCTACAGTTAGGAGCCCACGTCCAAAGAGGGAAAGGAATATGGAAATATGTCATCAATCCTCCTTTTCTTTCAGATGAATTCCCTAGTTCAGTTACATGCACCTATAAAGAAAATCTTGAAAAACCCTAATCATATGAGCATTCATTCAAAGAGAAGAAAAAAGAAAAGAAAAAAGTGGAGACAAATGACTTTTCATTTTCTTTGCTTCTTGGAAGCTTAGAAGCCTCGTATTGAAGCAGTGAATCTGCTAGCTAATCCATCTTTTTGAAGAAGAAATCGGGCTCTTTCCTTTTATTGTTGGTAGTTGGCACAACATGCATGGACTAGAGACTGACCAAAGAAAATTAAAGTATTCAATGGGTGGAAAGAATGTGCTTATCTTTATGATTTACTCACACTATTTTATTCAAAAGTTTTTTCAGCTTATCATATTATATTTTCATCCTGGTAATTTATCTGCTTTTTTTTTCTCCTAATTTTCTTCAGGAGTGAGTAAGAATATTCCAATATAAATTTATTTGAATAACTTTAAGTAATTTTATTGCCTAAGGTAGGACTAATTATAGAGTTAGATAATTGAGATTGAATTCTATCCAAAAGACTCAAGCTTTATAGTAGGTGATTCTTTCTCAACTTTATATAATTTATTATTGATTTAACTATTCAATGTGTAATATGTTCTAACACTCTCCCTCACTTGCATCCCATCTTTTGGGGTCCGTCAAATGACTTGGGCTCTAGGATCTTTCTTGGCCATTGGGCTTTTTGAGACTCGATACCATATAGAGTTAGATAGTTGAGATTGAGTTCTATCCAAAAGACTTAAGCCTTATGGTGGATAACCCATTTTCAACTTTATATATTACTTATTATTGATTTAAATATTCAATGTGGGATATGTTCTAGCACTAATTAACTCCCATACTACTAAATTCTTATCCAGGGATTCTACAATATTTATTAAAAATAAATAAAAAAAAATTAATGCATATAATCATTTTCTTCGACAAGTCTATATGTTTAGAATCATTAAAAAAAAATCAATTTCACTAAAATAAATAATAACAAGCGCAAATGACATATTCACTCTCTAACTATCACCCGATTCCCAATTGGATCCTTAAACAAAAATATTCTCAATTGGCTCCTCCATTTATTAGACATTATCCAATTATTCACACCTTCAAATTCTGGCCTTCAAATCATTAAAAATAAGAATCTATTTGTCTTCAAATAAATTTTCTTTTCTCATCGAATGATGGGGGTTAATTTGGTAATGTTTGACAAGTGAGGGATTCGATTGCGAATTTATGTTGTTCGGGGACCCATTTGAGAATCACATCATAGTTAGGGAACAAACATCCCACTTGTCTTGTCCTAATAAAACCGTCCAACCCCATTAGGAAAAAAAAAAAAAAAAAATTCGGTGTCCATCTGTAACACTTGCATGTCATTTCTCTTCTTCATAAGTTCTTAATTTAACAAGAAAGGGGTAAATTGGTGAAGTAAAGAGATGTTTAAGGCCTTTAAGGAAATAAAATATAAAAGAGATTGGTCGAAAATAGGCCCAGGACCAGGCCGAGGGCCATTCATAAGCTTAAGCCAGCCCATGTAGTTCTATTCTCTTATTTTGTCGACATGGGCATTTCTTAAGTCTGGTGCGCTAAATTTAGTTATAGTTAGCATTTAATGCTTTCCTTTTCTTCTTTAAAAGTTGATTTTACAAAGAAAAATTCGGTGAAAATATTGTTCTTAAAAAAATCTAGGGATTTGAATTTAAAGTTCCATAAAATTCTTGATATTTAAGGAGTTGGTTTTGTTAGTTAGAGGATTTAAAAGAAGGTTTAAAAGAAAAGATAGTTTGGTGCCAACCAATATGTAAAAAATTATATAAGAATGAAAATTTAAATTTTGGTTTGAAAATATTTTTATTTTCAAAAAAAAAAAATCTAAATAAGATATTGAAAAATTTTCCAAGAAATATTATCCTTCTATTCTGAAAATATGTGTTTTTTATTTTTTTAATACAAATAACAGTTTATTAATTGTTATGTCCTCTTAATTTTTTTTGTATTTTTTAATATTTTTTTAAAAAATAAAAAAATACATTACTTAAAATTTTGATTTCACAAATATTTTGAAAATATATAAATAAAAAAACAGATAGTTTTTTTTTATAAAAAAAATATGTTATTTCTTTAGTAATTAAGATTCAAATCTCAAATTAAATTGAGAGATATAAAGTTCTTATAATTTTTTTTAATCCCAATATAGATTAAAAAAGAAGAAGGAAGAAGTCATCTTAGAATACCCAAATCTAAAACTGAAAAAAATTAAAAAAAATCAATATGATAATGGTCATACGCAATGACATGCTGATAAGGATTGATAGATGGCACCATGAAGCGACCTGATTAGCACATTCTTGTCCCATGGTTATGATGCAATGTCATGGAATGTGATTCCATGTATCCAATCCATTACTAACAATCATTAAGTTTTCTATTAAATATTATTTGTAACATCTTTTCTTAGGTGACACTCCAAAAATAACTAATCCTTGTTTTATAAAAGAGAAATACATATAAAGATAAAAAAAAAAAAGAAATATGAAATAAAATTTAAAAAAATTAAATTAAATTTAACTAAAAATATTTTAGGAATTTTATGGTACTCAACTCATTATACATAAGGAGAGATAGATGATAGAAAAATAAATAAGAGAGAGAAAATTAAAATATCTATATAAACTTTGAATTTAAAAATATTTTTATTATTTTTTATGAGTTTAAATGTTTTTTTTTTCAAGTTGATCCATAAAATAATTAATGCTATTAAAATATTTTAAAATTTTTTCAAAAACTTTTATTATTTTATTGTAGATCTCAATGCGATTTTTTCTCTTCCTTCTTTGTATTTGTTTTTTATTATCTTAAATTTTTTGGCTTTATGGCTATCTCTAACTAATATATATATATATATATATATATATATATATATATATATATAAAATTGAAAACAATTACCGGTCACAATCTTATTAATAAAAAGATAAACATTGATTGAACCATAATTAATTAAATAAATCTCTTTTTAGTGCAATTTTTTAACGTGAATTATTTAATATTCAACAATGATATTTAACTACTCAATAGCGACCAAATTAGCAATCATACTCAAAAAAATTTCCACAATTTTAAAAACACAAACAAATAAAATATATTATTTTTGTTTGGACAAAAAAGGAACAATTTTCCATGCTTTATCGACGATTCAAAGACTTTTGATGGTCTTGCCTTATTGAGGTGGGTCTCCTTGTCTACCAAAGGTGACGCCATTGTTTACGTCAGCAACCCCCAGCTCCAATTGATGACAACCTATCAAACGTCACTCAAACGACTTCACGTTTCATTATTCGACTTCACGTTTCATTACTCACTGTGTCATTTATTTCTCCAACAAAAGAAAAATAAAAAAGACAGCGTTTTGTCTCTCTAAAAGCTGTGCTTTCTCTCTCTAGAAAAACAGTAACTTTGAAAGCGAAAAATGAAGTTTCGGTTGTTCTTACAGCACATGAGGCACGTGCCCATGATTTTCCTTTAACGTTTACCCCTTTTGTTATCTAGTTTTCAGTTCTTGAATTCAGAAAAACACTGTCTTGGTTAGTTGGCGTCTGTATTTTTTTGGTTTGATTTGTTTCAAGTTAGTAGCTTTCTTGGGTACTAAATCTTTTGCGTTTGTAAGATTAAGAATCTTCGATAGATCTGATAAGAATATGTAAGGTTTTTTACTGTTTTCTTTTCTGGGTTCTTGAGATCACTTCACATTTTTTTAAAAAAATTTGTTATCTTTATTTTCTAAAAGGCTTAGTTTTTGGTGGTGTTGTTTATGTATATAGTATGTTGACTTGGTGGTCTTGGAAATTCAAGCAAGAAATTTCTTGGCTATGGCGTATTTGTGTTTTTGAAGATAAAGTAATGTTTTCGACTTTTTGTTAGCTAAAATTTGATATCGCAATATAAAGTTTCTGTTTTCTTTTTATGAAAAAAACTAAGTGTTCCTGATGCCAAGTTCTTCCTTCTGTGTTTCTTGTAACTTTAGTGTTTGGATATGAGCAATCAATAGCATCATTAGTCGACAAGGTAGGTTATAGGCTTTTTTTTCCAATAGAGAACTATGGATCACAGGTTCAATCTCAATAATTTATAGTAGTAAGTTCTCAAGTGGATTAATGGCTGATTTATCTGAGCCATCATCATCTTTGAGCTTTACTTCATCTTCTCATATATCAAATGGTTCAATTAGTCACAACATATCCAACTCCTCGGGTGCTGAGGCAATAACTAATCTTGAGGTGATTAGTTTGAATAAGCTTAGCTCCAGTTTGGAGCAGCTATTAATTGACTCCACTCGTGATTATTGTGATGCAAATATTGTTGTTGAGGGCATCACTATTGGTGTTCACCGATGTATTTTAGGTGCTAGGAGTAAGTTTTTCCATGATTTGTTTAGGAGAGAAAAGGGGTCCTCAGAGAAGGAAGGAAAACCAAAGTATTGCATGAGTGATTTGTTACCTTATGGAAAGGTTGGATACGAAGCCTTCCTAATTTTCTTGAGTTATTTGTATACTGGAAAGCTCAAGCCATCTCCAATGGAAGTCTCAACATGTGTTGATAATGTATGTGCTCATGATGCGTGTAGACCTGCAATTAATTTTGCAGTGGAATTGATGTATGCATCATCCATATTTCAAGTACCAGAGCTGGTTTCACTTTTCCAGGTTAGTTTGTTTTACTGCGCTGTGATACATATTTTTCAGTCCATTATGTATTGATATTTGTATTCTTGGTGTGGCGTGATGTTGCGTTCTAGCCTGTACTGATTCTGTTATTTGCTTATAGTTTGGTGCTCATGGTGGAATAGAACTTGCCCTGATAGTTGCATAGTATTTGTGAACTTATGCTTGCAAGATTTCAAGTACTGAAATTCTCTACCCTTGCTGATTTTTTTGCTAATATAGTTGGTAAATTTTGAGAATTGGAATCCAACTTGTTTACATGATTCGTATCAAGCAGAGTTTGTGTGATTTGATAAATTAATCCATTTGATTTCTATGCTGGACCTGTGAATGCCAATGCTCAAGCCTAATGAATAACTTGGGAATAGTTGCTTTTCTTTACTATTTTGTTGTACTATTTCCTCGTGGAGGCTGGTTTTCAGTAACTAAATAAATGCCATTTTGTTAGCTGAGTAAATTGACAAGATTAATTAACAAGTAAAGAACGGTTTTGGGACCTTCAGTTTCTTTGCCAAACCCACTCTTTAAGCTCTATAAGAAACAGAAGAAAATTATAGTGATGCAAAGCTGTATGTTTTTGCAGAGACGCCTTCTTAACTTTGTTGGGAAAGCTCTTGTGGAAGATGTGATTCCAATCCTTGTGGTTGCCTTCCATTGTCAATCAAGACAGCTTGCCACACAGTGTGCTGATAGAATAGCACGGTCTGATCTTGACAACATCTCTATAGAGAAAGAGCTTCCCCATGAAGTTGCAGATGAAATTAAACTTCTCCGCCGCAAGTCTATTTCTGACGATGAAAACAACACAGAGGCTGTGGACCCCCTACGTGAAAAGAGAATTAAGAGGATACACATGGCATTGGACTCAGATGATGTTGAACTTGTGAAACTTCTACTGACCGAGTCTGATGATATAACCTTAGATGATGCTAATGCTCTCCATTATGCTGCATCATACTGTGATCTCAAGGTTATGTCTGAGGTGCTTAGCCTTGGCCTTGCTGATGTCAATCTTAGAAATTCACGCGGGTACACAGTTCTCCACATTGCTGCAATGCGAAAAGAACCATCAGTGATAGTGTCATTGCTGGCAAAAGGTGCATCTGCTTTGGACACGACATCAGATGGGCAAAGTGCTGTTAGTATCTGCCGAAGGTTGACAAGGCCAAAAGACTATCATGCTAAAACAGAGCAAGGGCAGGAAGCGAACAAAGACAGGTTATGCATTGATATTTTAGAGAGAGAAATGAGAAGGAATCCAATGGCTGGGAGTGCCTCCATCACTTCCCATACAATGTTTGATGATCTACACATGAAGCTGCTATACCTGGAGAACAGAGGTATGTTATTCTGCACATGATAATTTTGGATTCAAATCACTAGTCTTATTTGCTGAGCCAGTACATAGGTCATATGCATTTTCAACTCTATGGGACTGGGTTTGGCTTTTTGATTGCATTGAATTTAAAATTTACTTCTTTGTTTTGCGTTAAACTTCATAATTCTGTTCCAGTTTACATTTAAATTGCTTGCTTCTCTAAGGATTTCATTATTAATATGCCAAAAGCTGAAGTTTTTGGTTGTTTTCTTGAAATCTCTTTCTTGCACATAAAGATAAGTTTGGAAACTATCTTTTCATACTTAGTTGAGATAGCTAGATATTAACACTACTGATCTTCCTGCTGCTTTATTTGAGCTTTTAAGTTCCTTGGTTTGGGTGCTGAGGATGTCCTTGCTAATTGTTCTGTCTGCTCTTGTCCAAATAGGTGATTTTATCTTCTTTCTATTTTTAGTTTCCTAATCTACCAAGCAAGCTGGATGAAATAAAGATTTTCTCACTAGTATATGATTCTCACAAAGGCGAAGGCATCCTATTTATATATGGCTTTAGCACCTTCCGTTCAATTATGGTCTTGATTGATTCAAATGGATCTCTATCATGGCTTATAATTAAATGTATGATAGTGTTTTGGTGTCCATTGCAGTGGCATTTGCACGATTATTCTTCCCTACTGAAGCTAAGCTAGCAATGGACATTGCACATGCTGCAACAACATCAGAATTTGCTGGTCTTGCTGCACCAAAAGGTTCTAGTGGGCATTTGAGGGAGGTTGACCTAAACGAGACACCAATAGTGCAGAACAAAAGACTTCGGTCTAGGATGGAAGCCCTAATGAAAACTGGTACTTGGAAGCATTGAACTCCTTTGTTTCAGGAACCAACATCAGGACATGTTATAACGTATTATTATTACACAAGTCTTACAAATCTTGAAGCCTATTGAATCAATTGAACTCCCAAGAAGTTTTACAATTGAACAAATTAAATGTCACTGGTGGTCTAGAAAGTGCAAACTATCTATTTTTTTTGCAACTATTCTAATATAAGTTGTGTTTGTGATTATGGCAGTTGAAATGGGCCGACGATATTTCCCTAGTTGCTCTGAAGTGCTTGATAAGTTCATGGAAGATGACCTTCCTGATTTGTTTTACCTCGAGAAGGGCACCCCAGATGAACAAAGAATCAAGAGGACACGTTTCATGGAGCTTAAAGATGATGTTCAGAAGGCATTTAACAAGGACAAGGCTGAGATTAACCGCTCTGGTTTGTCTTCCTCATCATCCTCAACTTCCCTAAAAGATGGTATTGGTAACAAGCTCAAGAAATTATGAGGGCACGCAATTATGTCTCTGATAAGCCTTATAACTGAATACAAGGTTTCTCGAGAGTTAAAAGATTTTGATCTGCTTCTCTGTACAATTTTAACCAAAGAGCAAACTAGCGCTAGAAGCTCATGTGTGATATGCCTGTGTATTTTTTAAGCCCTTGAAAGCTTTTATTTCGAAAGCTCATAGAAAATGTTCTTTACTTGCATGCAAAAACAATAATTGTAGAAATTTGAAACTGATTTATTCAGATTAAACCTCGTCATCTGGTTCATGTGGATTGACCTGCTTTCCTTTGACTGCCCTAAGATTGCTGCTTCCTTCGCTGAACTTAATGTGCATCCATCGGAAACATAATTGCTTCATCAATTTTTTTTTCTGAGACCTTTTTGCTGCACTTAGATGCCATTATTTTCCGGTCTACAGAAGGTACCAAAAATTGTGAACATTATGAGAACCTCAAACCGCTTTCTTCTTTGTTTGTCCTCGTATCACTGGCATGTCATTGGTTTGCCTGTGATGCCAGTAATAGCAGTAAAGATTCCACAACCTTGGCACATCTAACGCTTGTTTAGAATCTATATATTCCATTGAAGTGAAAATATTCGACATTCTGATTAAATAAATTTTGGAAAGTAGGATGCCACTAATTCTGAAGGGAAGCAAGAATCTTGGACTACGCAGTCATAGCAAGATAAGGAGAGGAATCAAGCATTGGCTACTGCATACTGCAATTTCTGAGCAACTTTATTCCCTTGGTCTTTTTCACACATCTTTGAGGAGACACATTTTGTGCTAGAATATTAGGTATAGTTGCTTACCATTTTCCATCGCATACTCTACATCATGAGAATGTGCTTTAGGTCTGTCACCACAACATTTTCTTCATAGAATATTCTTTTGTAACAACTTTAGGACGTTGACTGATTTAATTTCAACTATCTATTTCGTGCTCTGTCAAAAAAAAAAAAAAAAAAAAAACCCTATAAATGTTGAGTTTTGCAAGGAAAAAGTAGTAGGAAATAAATGTCATTTGAATCCATTCGAATGGATAGGTTTTTATATGTATATTCTACGTTGAATAATAAATATTACTCAAATAATAAATACTCGAAACTTGACAGACAGCATATTAACACCTAAATATAATAATAAATAGTATACGAATATCTAAACTTTTCATCAATAAATAATAAATAGTATATAAATATCAGAAACCGAATCTATGGATGCTCGTTGCCATTCCCACAGAGTCGTCCACAGGAAACAAGCATGGGATGATGTTGGGCTGTGCTTGGCATGGTCAATAAGTTTTACCAGACTGGGCTAAGGTTTTATAGCACGTAAACTAACCCTAACGTGGATTGTTGACGCAATAAATTTGGATCGAGCTAGCACACCACGTTACACCTCCAAGATGGAATTGACCACAGGAACATGCACTGATACAGTTGTATGTTCAAGTTATGGTCAAAGCCTTACGATGTATAGATAACCTTATCCTTTATCTACTCCTTGGTCTTTGTCAGCTAAAGCAGTCAACATAGGCGGTTGCTTCCGAGAGGATGGATCTAGGAGATGGTCCTTTTGTAGTTCTACCTCAAACAAATCTCTTACAGGACATCTATAAATGGAGATGAGGAGGGGAGGGAGATCACAGAGCAGACATAGGGAGAAAGATAGAGCTAAGGAAAATGATGAAGAAAATATTGGTTGCAGTATTGATTGTGAGCATGATCGTTTCTCATTTTGAGAGCGTTGCATCCGACGCTTTCGATTGCTACGACGGATGCATCACTGCCTGTGTTCAACCAGACACGAGACTTATGCGCCGCTGCGAGATCAAATGCGGGATAAGATGTAATCCAGATTCTGAAGTTGAAGATCACACAGGTTGAAGAACTTGGAAGTTTCAAAGACATGATAGCCTGAATCTACATGAGGAATAATTTGCAGCAACTCTTTTAACTGTTTTTTCTTTTCTGTCAGTGTTGGTTGTCTTTCTGTATGTGTTTGAAGTGAGAAAGGGAGGGAGATTCTGGGCAAACAATTCTCAAATTTGAATAAAGAAAGAAAATCACTACTGAAGCTTCAGCTGGCTTTTTTCTTGCAACTTGATCATCATTTCCCAGAGACACAGAGAAATTCATCTTTCAAGCCATAAGGCCCAAGTAAAGGGAAAATAAACGTGAAAATATGAAATGAAGTGGAAGAGGAAAAAAGTTTGTATATTGTCATTATCTGGAATGAAGAAATTCCTCAGAATCCTCAAACATCAAACCACAAATAACCCATTTTTCTGAAAAATAAGACATTTTACTTAGCAAAACTTCCTACAAAAACGATCCCAGTGATGATGAAGTGGTCTCGGACAAGCTTTTTCATCCCAATCTGAAGCTTTTGATTGTAACTGAAGGGTCAGAGGGTTAAGCAACGTAGCTTCTAACCTAAATATATTGAAGGTACACATAGTTGCATACGGATTCAGAGTGGTAGATCTTTTTCTCCTGCAATTATTTTGAAATCTTTTGCGTCAATATAACTTTGCATGGATTTCATACAATCTTGCAATCAAAATGTTCTCTTGCTACAGAACAGAACAGGGTTTTCAAAGGGGTCTCTGTAGTCCAGACACCCTCTGTAATGGAACTGTGCAAATAATCCTGTACTTCAGCAGTATTAATATTTCACAAAATATTATATCAAGTTATAGACTATCTTGATAAATTGTTAGTTGGGATAAATTAAATGAACATCAAAGACATTGCAAACACAGAAAGCTAACTGAAAATTTTTGAATAATAATTGTATTTTGGAAAACAATGACATTGCCCACCTCTAATGTTTCGACATCCAACAATTGTAGTATTTAGCTAACGAATAATTCTGAAGTAGAAAACAATCGGACCTTAATTCTGTAACGCTATCACAATAACAACACAGCAGCTCCGGGGTATGCTAGTACTTTCACTGGCACTCTATTGGTTTTTATCTGGACTTAAGGAAGCAAAATACGCACTAACCTTATCTCTCTGGACAAAAATACCCTGTGATGGGACAGTATTGAATTATAACATATCGGAAACAAACGAGCTACAAAAGCAATTAATAAAGAGTTGAGAAACAACAGCAGGCACGACCTTACTTGAACAGGATCTGTTCTGTAGGATAGTTAACCGTACCCCCATCTCCTCGAACCTAAGTCTGGTTGATGAATCATGACCGCGTGATCATAGCGTGCGTAACGGTTTGATGGTCCTTGGGAGCATCATGGCTACAGAGGATCGTTCCTCAGCCACTGAGATCTGGCTTGGGGATGGATGGTCATGCAGTTGTCTGCCTACATCACTTCCCATGCAATGGTTGATGATCTACACATGAAGCTGCTATACCTGGAGAACAGAGGTATGTTAATTGTGCACATGATAATTTTCAACTCTATTCTTTTTTTGGGTTAAACTTCATAATTCTGTTCCAGATTTCATTTAACTTGCTTGCTTCCCTAAGGATTTCGTTATTAATTTGCCAAAAGCTGAAGTTTTTGGTTATTTTCTTGAAATCTGTTTCATGCACATAAAGAGATTGAACTTACAAAACCGAACCTGATTTTGTCAGTGCCTATGACATCAGATGGGCAAAGTGCTGTTAGCATCTGCCAAAAGACTATCATGCTAAAACAGAGCAAGGGCAGGAAGCGAACGAAGACAGGTTATGCATTGATATTTTAGAGAGAGAAATGAGAAGGAATCCAATGGCTGGGAGTGCCTCCATCACTTCCCATTCAATGGTTGATGATCTACACATGAAGCTGCTATACCTGGAGAACAGAAGTATGTTATTGTGCACATGATAATTTTGGATTCAAATCACTAGTCTTATTTGCTGAAGCCAGTACGTAGGTCATATGCATTTTCAACTCTATGGGACTGGGTTTGGCTTTTTGATTGCATTGAATTTAAAATTTACTTCTTTGTTTTGCGTTAAACTTCATAATTCTGTTCCAGTTTACATTTAACTTGATTGCTTCTCTAAGGATTTCATTATTAATATGCCAAAAGCTGAAGTTTTTGGTTGTTTTCTGGAACTTTCTTGCACATAAAGAGAAGTTCGGGAACTATCTTTTCATACTTTGTTGAGATACCTAGACATTAACACTACTGATCTTCCTGCTGCTTTATTTGAGCTTTTAAGTTCCTTGGTTTGGGTGCTGGGGATGTCCTGCTAATTTTTCTGTCTGCTCTTGTCCAAATAGGAGATTTTATCTTCTTTCTATTTTTAGTTTCCTAATCTACCAAGCAAGCTGGATGAAATAAAGATTTTCTCACTAGTATACGATGCTCACAAAGGCGAAGGCATCCTATTTATATATGGCTTTAGCACCTTCCGTTCAATTATGGTCTTGATTGATTCAAATGGATCTCTATCATGGCTTATAATTAAATGTATGATAGTGTTTTGGTGTCCATTGCAGTGGCATTTGCACGAGTATTCTTCCCTACTGAAGCTAAGCTAGCAATGGACATTGCACATGCTGCAACAACTTCAGAATTTGCTGGTCTTGCTGCTCCGAAAGATTCTAGTGGGCATTTGAGGGAGGTTGACCTAAATGAGACACCAATAGTGCAGAACAAAAGACTTCGGTCTAGGATCAATGAAAACAGGTACTTGGAAGCTTTGAACTCTTTTGTTTCAGGAACCAACATCAGGACATGTTATAACGAATTATTATTATTACACAAGTCCTAAAAATCTTGAAGCCTATTGAATCAATTGAACTCCCAAGAAGTTGCACGATTGAGCAAATTAAATATCACTCGTGGTCTAGAAAGTACAAACTATCTATTTTTTGCAACCATTCTAATATAAGTTGTGTTTGTGATGATGGCAGTTGAAATGGGCCTCCCTAATTGCTCTGAAGTGCTTGATAAGTTCATGGAGGATGACCTTCCTGATTTGTTTTACCTTGAAAAGGGCACCCCAGATGAACAAAGAATCAAGAGGACACGTTTCATGGAGCTTAAAGAGGATGTTCAGAAGGCATCTAACAAGGACAAGGCTGAGATTAACCACTCTGGTTTGTCTTCCTTATCATCCTCAACTTCTCTAAAAGAGAGTATTGGTAAAAAGCTCAGGAAATTATGAGGGCACGCAAGTTTGTCTCTGATAAGCCTTATAACTGAACACAAGGTTTTGAGTGAGTTAAAAGATTTTGATCTGCTTCTCTGTATAATTTTAACCAAAGAGCAAAATAGCACTAGAAGCTCACGTGTGATATGCCTATGTATTTTTTAAGCCCTTGAAAGCTTTTATTTCAAAAGCTCATAGAAAATGTTCTTTAGTTACATGCAAAAACAATAATTATAGAAATTTGAAACTGATTTATTAAAAAGTACGGCAAACAGAAAAATGTTCAGCAATTAGATCTATAGTAATGAATGGGTGGCATCAGTTTGACTAAAACAACAGAACTACAATGTACAAAATTTAAAAGCAGAACTAACCTTAGCTTGAAGCTGATGCATTCCTTAAACTTTCCCACATAGCTGGTCCTTCAGGATGGATATCTACAAAATATTTTACAAATCGTACATCTGAACATGCAAGGATAGTGCCCAAAGACAGTTTGGGTTTTGCTGCACCTTTTTCCCTCAGCCAAATATACATTCTAAATCTAAGATTAATCCTCTCCATGTCGTAGCATAAATATGCTGGGAATGCCACCAGTGAGTCGACTGAGTAGCCTAAGAAGTTTGTCAGGCAATCAATCTTCTTTTCAAGTACGTCTTTGGTCTGGTTTAGCACCATTGGAGCTTGTTTAACGAAGCTAGAGACAGCGTTGTAGTCCAAACCAGCTTGTACCAGGCAATCAAACCTCTCTTGTAATTGATCTCCTCTACCTCGAAACTTTTTTAGAGCTCTCATCATCTCATCTGAGTTTTCAACATACCCCAATCTCAACAAGAATGCTGCTTTCTCCAATTTGTTACTCGCACCTCGGGAGGCTAATTTTTCGCTGCTTTCAACTTTCAATTTAGAACCCAAAAGGAACAACTCCAATGGACCTTCCATAAGGATTTGGCATAAACTATCTTTCTTAACTTTGAATTGTTTAAGAAGAGTTCTAGGTCCTTTCAAAGGAGTAGAACACAGATGCTCCATTTGGGTAGATATGATGTTTGCAGTGTCTTCTATTCCCATTCCAATGTATAACAAGATATCAACTGCCCGCAAAAGATTCCTCACACTCTTACTAGTCAAGATTTGTGGGTGTTGTATAAACAATGAATAAACCTCATTCACCTTGAGACCCAATTTGAGTAACCGACCAAACAACAAATAAACTTTCTTCCCAGAACCTTCAAACACTAACACAGGATTCATTTTCAACAGATCACGCAACTGGTCCTCACTATAACTTACTTTGTCAAGAAAATCTATAGTGTCAAGCAGTCTTTTCCAATTATAGGAGTCTTTAGCGGACAAGTACCCTCCTATCAAATCATTCTTTAGTCCTGCTCTATTTAATCTCTCAAGAACTCTAACAAATTCACTATCAATACCACCAATAAGGAGAGATGGGCAACAACTAACGAGCTTAACAACAGTGGTTTTACTCAGACCCAACTTTTCATAAGCCTCAAGTTTCAATTTCAACATCCCATGATTATATCCAAAAATCTCTGTTGCCTCCTTGTACATCCTACCAATCTTACTTCGGGGTATTCCATAATTACACAAAACATGAAAGTTCTCTAGCAACATATCATCATCACCAAGATATATCAAACGTCGAGGAAGAAATGAAGGAACCTCAGATGGCCTCAAACCCACACTCTCAAAAAATGGCTCAAACTCATTAATTGGATTGTACCTAAGAAATTTATTCAAGGACCTCACAACATTTTTATTATTATCAATCTTGGAGAGTAAATTTTCAATAAAATGTGGTGAATTCTTACTAATATGCTCTGCATCACTGAAATCAAAGCTCCTAGTGCAATGCAAGTAATCAAAAAGCACACGCTGAGCCTCAGTTCTCGCAGCACGCGAGACACGACAACTAGAAAGAGTAACAGGACATTGAACACGACAACTAGAAAGAGTAAGAGCAGATTGAACTGACCCAGAATGTGAAATTTTTGCATTCTTGGGCCATCTGGAACTGCAAAAGCATTGAACTTTAAGGGAAACGGGACATGGGTTTTGCTTGTTATTGGATTTTTCAACAACCACATGAGAGAAAACCAGAAACTTATTGACTTGAGCTATCATTGCCGAAAATTTAGACAGTCTTTTATCGATTCTAGTCAATATCATGGCAAGGATACGAAACAATGAGGGAAAGTGAATAAAAGGAGATGCAATAACCTATAAAGGTTGGAACTTTTTGAGGATTTGTAAAGTGGATAGACCATAAATTTGCATGAAACAAAATGAAGAAATCATGAAAATTAGAACAAAGCTTGAGTTTTGGGGCTTCTTACCTTCGGAAATTGATTGGTTTGGATCCAAAAATTTCACCCGAAAAATGGATTCTTTGGCTCAAGAAAAGAAACGAATGGAGCCCTCTTGACTGTATTGTAGAGTCCAGTTTTGGTAATTGAGATGGGAAAATTATTACTTCATCAGACTTAAAACCCTAGGAGGAGGGTTTTGGACAACGGGTAAGAAGTCTTCCCTGTCCTACTAAGGCAACCAGGTGTGACGGCCAGTGTCCCAACTCGAATAAAGTCCCTTTTATTTTGGGGTTGAGGGGACTGGTTAGTGATTGTGCGACTTCTGGTCCTTGAACTGTTTGAAATTATTTAATTTCATCACTCTACAAGATAATAGCTCACTAAGTTCCTCTAATTAAGAATTTTGTTTTTGTACAGTAAATTAATAATGTGAACATTCCATCCACCACCTTGTCTTAAAATCAATTTTTTTTTCATTTTCACTATTTTTTTAACTTTCTTTGAGAGAAAAAAACAATTAATTTAAACAAAAAAATCCTTATTTTTATAGAAAATATCGTTAATTGAGTCTTATTTTTCAGTGAAATATTTCAAATTTTATTCTGTTCCACTACAGTTAGAGATTACACTTGTTTTTGGATAAATGGATTTTACTCCAAAGTTTCTTCTTCTTCGCATTTGTTAAAACATCGGTATGAGTCTTATTATGTTCCACTACGGATGGGCAAAGTGCTGTCAGCATATGCCAAAGGACAATCATGCTAAAACAGAGCAAGGGCAGGAAGCGAACAAAGGCAGGCTTTTTTTGATTGCATTGAATTTAAAACTTAGTTCTTCTTTTTTGGGGGTTAAACTTCATAATTCTGTTCCAGATTACATTTAACTTGCTTGCTTCCCTAAGGAATTCATTATTAATATACCAAAGGCTGAAGTTTTTGGTTATTTTCTTGAGATCTCTTTCTTGCACATAAAGAGAAGTTCGGGAACTATCTTTTCATACTTTTTTGAGATACCTATATATTAACACTACTGATCTACCTGCTGCTTTATCTGAGCTTTTTTAAGTTCTTTGGCTTGGGAGCTGAGGATGTCCTGCTAATTGTTCTGTCTGCTCTTGTCCAAATAGGAGATTCTATCTTCTTTCTATTTTTAGTTTCCTAATCTACCAAGCAAGCCCGATGAAATAAAGATTTTCTCATTAGTATATATGATGCTCACAAAGGTGAAGGCATCCTATTTATATAGAGGCAACAAGTTGCACGATAAATTTTATTCTCTCTCTTTTTTTTTTTTTTTTACCAGTTAAAGCACAAGGGAATAATACACATAACATTGCCTAGTTTTATGTATTAATTCAGTGAAAATCCAATTAACTAAAAAGCTAAAAGAAAACATTAGTTTACTGTAACTTTACTATATGAGATACTCTGCACACACTCACATTTTACTATTCATTCTCTCACGTTTCGCTATAAGCTTCACTATTCATGGTTTTTTTTTTTTTTTTACATTTTGGTCCATCATATTTTCGAATGTATATTTCGATTCATATGTTCATTTGCTCATCCATTTTGATTCTTGAGAAGAGAGAGAGATCGCCAACCAGACCTTATTTAGGCCACTCGGCCAACGAAAATCTACTATATTTTTTTATCTTTGAGAGATGAGTTTGTCCATAGTGATTTCAAGTCATTAAACAATTAGAGGAGGTAGATCGAGCCAAAAAAGGAAAACAAAATTCAATTTTATTTTGTATCTTTTTCTCTTTTTGTGTGTATTAAAATGATTTTTAAGGTTTTAAATGTGTTTATTGGTTTTATTTCGGTCATTTAGAGGTGTTTGAAGAAAAAAATGACGCCGAAATTCAATTTTTAAGGATCCGAAAATTGATCTTTGATTTTTCGACGAATCTTTCGACAACTTTGAGTTTGCCGAAAATTACAGCTTTCACGCTTGGCCCTACCTACATAGGCCAACCACGCGTGGCCTCCCTCCTATTTTTTTTTCTTGGTTGTACAAGCCAACCAAGTGCCTCTCCTAGTTGGCTTGCAACCAGACGCCTTCTCTCTCTCTCTCTCTCTCTCTCTATATATATATATATATATTATTTTTATTGTTTAAATTTAATTTTTTAATTATTTATTTCTTATTAAAATTCACATCAAAATAATTTTTTGATATACTTTTATTTATTAATAGATTTATTGTTTTAATATATGAATTCTTATATGAAATTAATTAACTATCAAAATCAATCCGTCCCTGCAAACAAATTCAACTAACACGATGCATCAAATCTTCCAAAAAAAAAAAAACAGAACATATTACTTGCGACCAACTCTATGAAAATAACTATATCCTTCCTCGTAGTGTAGCGCGGATACAAACCTAGTTGTATACTAATTTGTAATCATTTTATATTTATTATTATTATATGATAAAAGATATTCTCATATCAGTTTATGTATTAATTGAGATTTTTTTTTCAAACAATTTCAATGATGTATCTTTGCATCGGTATAGTTTATTAAAAGAAAATAAATCCTTCTTATACTAATTTCAAACTCATAAAATCAAGACTCTTCGGACCTCTCAAGTTATTCAAGACATTGCAAACACAGAAAGCTAACCGAAATTTTTTGAACAATAATTGTATTTTGGCAAACGATTTCATTGTCCACCTCTAATGTTTCCACATCCAACAACTGTAGTATTTAGCTACTGAGTAATTCTAAAGTAGAAAATAATCGAACCTTAATTCTATAATACTACCACAATAACAAAGCAGCAGGTCGGGGGTATCCTAGTACTTTCGCTAGCACTCTCCTGGTTTTCATCGGGAATTCAGAAGCAAAAGACGCACTAACGTTTTATCTTTGGACAAAAATACCCTGTGATGGGACAGTTTGAGTTATACCATATCGAAAACGAACGAGATAGAAACGCAGTTAATAGAGAGATGAGAAACAGCATCAGGCACGACCTTACTTGAACAGGATCTGTTCTATAGGATCGTACATCTGTATCCTTAAACACTAAGAAGACAGGAACCTAAGTCTGGTTGATGAATCATGACCGTGTGATCATAGCGTGAGTAACGGTGTGATGGTCCTGGCGATCATCATGGCTGTAGAGGATCGTTCCTCAGCCACTGATCTGGCTTGGGGATGGTCATGCGGTTGTCTGACAGACTCCTTTACTTTTTTGCGACTGAACTTACAAAACTTAATGAATTCTCGCTCTCTTCATGCTTGACGTGAAGGCGAATCCACTGGCTGTCAAGCCATCACAGGAAGGAGCGTACAGAGCTCGGCAAGCAATAAATGGGGGTGGTGACGTGAAGATAACATCTAAAAGCTTTTTGACCTTATATAAAAAAGGCAACACTTATCCATAGAAGCAGCTAGGGAGGGACAACTTAACAATGAGAAATTGAAGATTTGCCTCATCTGCAATACAGCTGAGGAATTGAAGATTTGCCTCGTGTTGTTATTCATTTTACGGGTTCGAGTTCATCCATAATTGGATTCGTTACTCGATTTCTGTTTTTAATTCTCTGGGTTTTGTTTCAACAATCAGAAGGTTCCTAACTTAAATTTTCGGGTTTGGAGTCTTAATTCTCATTTCTTGTGTTCTCCTTTGAAATCATTCTGGGCAGCTTCTGGTGTGCTTCAAATTTTCTGGGTTGGAGTTCATTCGGCTTCAACTGCATTCGGCTTCAACTGCGAGATTCAATTTTCGGCTTTGAATCTTATCCGAGCTTTTCCAAACCAACAGAAGGTCCTTTGAACCTCTTAAAACCATTTTGAGTTCCAATTTACATCTTTTCAGAACAACAATCACCAATTTTGGCAAGCAAGGTCTTTTTTTTTTTGGCTTCGTTCATTTTTCCAGTTTTGATTCAGTTGCTCGAAATTCCAAATGTTTGTTTAGTTACCTGTTTAAGAATTAATTTTTGGTTTCTGATTGAAACAATAGTATAAATATCACATGTTAGCAAATTTATTTGTCCGAAATGGGGTTTTAATTTTGGAGAAAACTGGAAAATAGAGAAAATGAAGGAAATGAGAGAGAAACAGTTAGAAGTTGGTAAAAAAAAACGCGCCAGATCGGAAAAAATAAAAGGAAAGAGATGGGTTGTGTTTTTGGGCTTGAGGTCCAGTCCGGGTTTCCCTTTTAAAATAAAAGAGAAGAATGTGGGTTGGGATAAACCCAACCCACATGAAATGAAAGGCTGGGCTGGCTTTAACCCAGCCCCAACCTAGCAAAATAAAATAATAATAATAGGGAAAGAGGCTGGATTCAGTCCAGCTCCCCACTTTTTTCTTAAAGAAAAAGAAAAAGAAAAAGAAAAAGAAAAAAAAAAAAAAAAAGAAGAATGAAACTAGAAAAATAAAAATAAAATAAAGACTAAAAAAAACAAAGAAAGGGTAGGACAAAAATAAGGCATGGGTTAATGGGCTTGGGGCCCAAAATGATTTCTTTTAACATTTTGATTTTATTTTTTATATCTTAATTATTTTTATTTCTCGTTATATATATATTAAACACTTTTTTTATTACGAATTTAGAATTTATGTTAGTTATTAGGTTAGATAATTGTTTGATAAAAGAATTATTGAGTCTCCTAATTTTTTAGAGACCAATGATAATTTTTTTTACCAACAAATAATTAATAATAAAAATTCTCAACAAAGTCTCTTATCCGATAGGAACTATCATTTGACGAAAAAAGAATAATAAAAATTATCAATGAAGTCTCCCATCCGATAGGAATTGTCATTAGATAAAAATAAAAAATAAAAATCTCAAGCAAAGTCTCTTAAATGATATATAGACTGTTGTTTGAACAAAAAAATA